CAATTTTCAGCTGCCCTTTTGCCTCAAAATTCCAGGAATTTCCTTCACTTCTTGTGGTTGAGCTGAAGTTACAAATCCGCGTTTCACCCAGTGGCATTCACCTCCTCAAAGCAGGGGATAAGGTCTCAAGTTTGAGTCTTAACTTTGTGACTAAAAACATGCAATTATGGTTTGGTAGACTGATATGGTTTGTTATACCAGTAATTAGAAGGTCACATGCTGATCATACCAACAATGCCCCAGTGCTGATTGTTCTACTCCATATTCCCAGATTATATTTAATTTTTCCATTAAGTTCTGAGATCATTAAGGCCACTGGAGCAGTCACAAAGACCACATAGCTGGAGCTTCATATAATCTCCTGCTATACATGCTGGCTAGTCATGGGAGCAATGCCTCCTTGGATGGGAAAATACGTGTCTTTTTAGGTGATACTACTAGTTGTTCTCTCAAAATGCTATTGTTGTTGTTGTTGGTCATTTAGTGCTGTTATATACTGATGAGGCCTCTGATCTTGTAGGTCCTGGGGGCATCATGGTATTTGTTGTGAATCGAGTGTCATTGAACATGCTGGAAGTCTGCTTGCAAACATGAATTGAGCCCTATACCATGCAACCCTCATTACTTGGATTGCGATACTTTGGAATTTCCTGATCACAATTCCTGGGAAAGCACTACTGTTTTGTTTGCCAGATGTAATCCGGATGACACTTCCTTTTTCGATTATGGCATATTCGCAAATGCATTGCAGCAGAAAGTACTTCCTCTGAGTTTCTTGAAAGGTACTTATATTGTTTATGGTGGGGCTTGCAGAACTTGAGGTATGACTTCATTGAAATTCACCACAAATGTTGGGAGACACAATTTCGAGCATCTAAAATTAGATAACCATATATGCATATATTTACAAATATTTGATTTTATTAAAATATATGATTGGGTATAATTTATATTTAAAATATTTATAAAAAGAATAAATAATTCTCTTATTCTTTCATTAGATTTGATATGTGGTGATTTGATTTATTTATGAAATTAAGTCAACATTTATGCTTTATATAAACACGGATTTGAGGGTGAATCCGAGTGTATATTGCAAAGCGAGATTTGATGATTTGATGTTTTGAAAGAGGATATTTGTTTGTCTTTTAAATATTGTTGAAAAATTCTTAAGGAATGTTTGGAGTTGATCCAATAGAGTTTTATTTTTTATAGATATCAAGTGTAGATGAAAGAGGATTGAAAGCTTTTGAGAGAATTTTTTATTTGAAGTGGTTTTCTTAGAGAAAAATTTTATATCTTGAATACCAAGGTTTATTTATTTTTCTTGTTATTTATTTTATTCTTAAAAAAATAAAATAAAAAATAACACGATGTAAAATTTGATTGTAAAATTTTTTTGTTTATATCCTTCAAGACAAGTTTGATTTATTATTTATGTTTTTGGATGAACTCATTACTCTTGCTAAATTTATTGCAGATAGATCAAGAGGATACAATAATTTAGCTATACCATCACTTTTAAACGACAGTCCAGATTGGACAATGTGAGCGTTCGAATCCTTCATCTGTCTGGTCATATTATACCACCATGGCACCGCTTTACAAGGGAGGAGCAAAACTCTAATTTCCAGTGTGATGAAGATGAAAACAGACGTTGACGTTATCAATGAACTGAGCTTCACTGGACTTCGTAGTTGTCATCAAACAAGGCTAAAAATAAACTCTCCGCTTGAATTGCGCTTCAAAAGAGGCGATGAAAATAGACAGAAAATCCTTCGATTAAATCACACTCTCTCCCTGTCTTTATCGTCCCTTCTGTATTTTGGATGAAGGAATATGTTCACGAGAAGAAACAGACCGCAATCTCTCCCTGTATTGATTTCATGAGACAGACGAAAGGATTGAGAGCTCATGTAAGATGCAGACAGCAGCCTTACATTTGGGAATGAAGTGGATGAATCTTCCTGGCAAGTTGAGACATTCTGCAGGACAACCTCTCTATCAAGCTAACGTTGTCTCTATGTTTTCCTTATTGTTGTCCTCTTCATTTGATTTTTAGCAATCAAAACTAATATTGGGAGGAGCAGCATCGAGCTTCAAGTTCATTGCAAGGACAGTGCTTGAACTACTCCTCGCCACCAGCCATAATTCTCCTCTACACTCCCAGCTCCCATGCTTCCATAGGATGTTACAAGATGAAAGAACTTTAAGCGGGGTAGCTGTCTAGTATATTTAATAAAGTGGGCAACATGAAGAGTACTTTTTTACCACGATAACCAAAAGGTGAAACTAGCCTCGTTGAAGAAGATGAAGATATTTGACGTTATCCAACACAAAGATTTGAGTTAAACCCTAAGCTTATTAATAAGATTTCAGGTGTTGCAACCTTGGATTATCAGTCTCCTTCTGATTGAAACTTAACTCCTGCTATGAGAGGTTATAGACACCTTATCCATAAAACATACAGCAGGAGACCGCATTGAAGAGAGCTTTTTCATGTGAAGGTCATTTTCTATCGTGGGATTTCCTAAAGTTCCATTACCCAAAGATTAATAAATCCTTTTAGAATAAACAGAGAACGACTTGAGTTTAACTCTAAAGGTTGTCATAATCGTGGTATACCTTTTTTGTGTGTAGGGAAACTATGTTGATTTTTTTTTCAAAAAAAAAAAAAGGAATTCAGTGTATTTTACAATAATGTAATCATTTTGAAATATAAAATTACTTTATAAGATTTCGTTCCGTTACAGTTTCAATGACAAATCTCTTCTGAATTCTAGAACTCTGCAGTGTTTAACATGCTCTCTCTTGAATAGACACACTGGCAATCTATCACTATGAGGCTTGGAGAGTGGAGGCTCAAGCGACGAGACACAAGATTGGATGAGACATCTTCAACTCCCCTAAAGCTTGCGAGAACTTGTCAGAAGATTTGTTCAATACAACTAGAGGGGCTGATGAGGAATCAATCTTGCGTTCATACCTACAGATCTTTGTCGTGACATCCAGCGTCACCTATGCCTGGACCTTGTTAGACGAGTAAATCACTCACGATCAAGCATTTTAAGATCTATCTTCTTCTGTCATGCAACTCTAGCTAATGTTTTTCCTATTTGCAGGTCCCTTTTTTCTCGCAGATGGATGATCAGCTACTTGATGCCATTTGTGGGCGCTTAGTGTCCTGTTTGAGTCCTCAAGGAAATTATATATAGTTGGAGAAGGTGATCCGGACGGAGATGTTTTTTATTATCAGGGGAAAGCTAAAGAGCTCAACTCCAAATGGAGGGCGAACAGGTTTATTCATGTCAATTACTTCGAGACCTGGCGACTTTTACGGTGAAGAGCTGCATGCCTAGGCATTGCTTCCAAAATCTAGTACTCTCAACTTACCTTCTTCCACAAGGACGGTGAGAGCAATAGAAGAAGTGGAAGCACTTGCATTGCGAGCAGAAGCTCTCAAGTTCGTTGCCAATCAGTTTAGACGTCTCCATAGCAAGAAACTACAACATACCTTCCGTTTCCACTCTTACCTTCGGAGAACCTGGGCTGCCTGCTTTATTCAGGCAACTTGGCATCGACACAAGAAGAGGATGATGGCAAAGAGCCTGAGCATGTCGGAGTCCTCAGTTTCTCTTGATGAGATGACAAATGATGATGAAACAACACAAGAGGAGGATGAACATAGTTTTTCATCTACTATCTCTCAAGCAAAACAACACCTTGGTGTTACAATACTAGCTTCAAGATTTACTGCAAACACAAGGAGAGGGGCACAGAAAGATGTTGAAATGCTCGTCGCAAAACCCTGAAGAGCCAGACTTCTTACAGAACCAGATGATGACTAGCTCGACCCCTGTTCTCACCCAACAGCCAACTAACAATGGGAGAAAGCTAATATGGAAGGCAAATGATCCAATCCTGAAGGGATATTGATTAAAACCCTCCCCGCCATTACTAGTGCTATCAGCACCCATGGATGGCTCCTTCAATTTTTAGGTAGCTCGTAGCCAAGTGGATGTGAAAGGTGCGAGTTGCTTGTGATTTAGCACATGTAGCCAGTCTTGATTAGAGTTTTGTTACAGTCAATCAGGTGAGATCAACACATTATTGCCTTGGATTTTCTTGCCGAAATGGCTCTGAGCTCCGTGATAAATTTCAGCAAGATAATCTTATTATAGAGGATGGATGGCCTTGATGCAGTCACGGTTGGACTGTGTTTTTGTAAAAATATTAATTTTTTATTTTAAATTAATTTTAATATATTAATATTAAAAATAAATTTTTAAAAATAAAATAATATTATTTAAATATATTTTTAAATAAAAAATAATTTAAAAATAATTATCATCACATTACGGCTACAAGATACACATTATTTCCATTATATTTGAAAGTGTTTTTTAAAATGTATTTAAATTATATATTTTTTATGTTTTAAGATAATTTTAATATTTTCATGTACCAAGTATGATTTTTTACTATTTGGATAATTTTGATAATTTTATAAAAATTAAAAAAAAAAAATATTTTTCATAATTTTGAATTTAAAAACACCTATAAAACATTTTATATATCTAAATAAAATTATGTATTATCTAAAATCGTCCAAAAAATTAGTTTAAAAACAAAAGATAATTAAAAAATTTCTCCAGCTTTACTTTATTTTTTCAGGTAATATAAGAGCTAAAAAAAACTTATTAGATTTTCTTTTATCAAAATAAAAGATTAATTTAACTTTTTTAGTTACTGAATCAATGTAATAATTTTTTTTTTAATCTGAACATGTAATCTAGCAATGTTTTTTCTTTTCTCTTAATTTTAATTTTAAGGACTAGAAGTTTGGGAAAAAAATATTAACTTGTTAAACTAAAAAAAATAAAAATAATTTTGCCCTTGCTCCCCAAAATTTAGCATTTAAACTATTTTTTATATATAAAAAATCAAATGATATTATCTTGACATCATTATATCACTACAAAAAGCAAAACTAAACAAATCATTCCAATTAAATGCAATGTCAAGAACAAATTTGAAAAAATAATAATAATAACTGTTTAAACAGTAATCACAAAAGAGAAACCTTGCATTCCTTGTGCATGTGAGAGAGACGGTCCTGCTTCCCCAAACCACTTTCTTCAATCTTCCAGATTTGTACAAAGTGTCTCTGTCGTTTTGGTCAGTAAAGAAACCAGACCACGAGGAGAAGGAATACCACAGAGGAAGGTTGATGATGGCGGCGGCGGCGGCAGTGAGACGAGGAGCTTCAGAAGCATTTTTTATTGGGTCCCAAGTTCAGCGATGCCTAATGAAAATAACGGGTATGATTCTTCCATCACTTTTGTCTAGCAAAGACTCCGACTCCATTTCTTCTTCTAGCAGGATCAGTAGCAGTAGCTGTAGCAGTAGATACAAACACAAAAATGATGCTTCTTCTTCTTCGTTTAGAAACATTGATGATGCCCTTGCTTCTTTCAATCACATGATTCATAGGAAACCTCTGCCATGTATTATCCAATTCACCAAATTATTGTCTGCAATTGTCAAAATGGGACAGTATTACGATGTTGTGATTTCTCTTTCCAAACAAATGGGTTTAGCTGGGCTCTCTTCTAATACTTATACCCTTCATATCTTGATGAATTGCTTCTGCCAGTTGCAACGTGTTGATCTTGGGTTCTCTGTCTTGGCCAAAGTCATTAAACTTGGCCTTCAACCCTCTATTGTCACATTTAACACCTTAATCAATGGGCTCTGTAAAGTGGGTGAATTTGCCCAAGCCGTGGAATTATTTGATGATATGGTGGCAAGAGGGTGTCAACCTAATGTCTACACTTATACTACGATTATCAATGGCTTATGTAAGACTGGGGAAGCTGCCGAGGCTGCTGGATTGTTTAAGAAAATGGAAGAGGCAGGCTGCCAGCCGGACGTGGTGACATACAGCACACTCATTGACAGTCTTTGCAAAGATAGGCTGGTGAATGAGGCTTTAGATATCTTCTCTTATATGAAGGCTAAAGGCATTTCCCCAGATATTTTCACTTACACCTCTTTGATCCAGGGCTTATGCAATTTCAGCCGATGGAAGGAGGCTTCGGCATTGCTAAATGAAATGACAAGTTTGAATATCATGCCAGATATTGTCACCTTCAACGTGCTAGTTGATACTTTTTGTAAAGAAGGCAAGGTTTCAGAGGCTCTAGGTGTGTTAAAAACAATGACTGAAATGGGTGTGGAGCCTAACGTTGTTACTTACAATTCGTTGATGTATGGATATTCCTTGTGTACAAAAGTTGTTGAAGCTAGAAAGCTTTTCGATGTCATGATAACCAAGGGTTTTAAACCTGTTGTTTTTAGTTATAACATCTTAATGAACGGATATTGCAAGGCCAAAAGGATAGATGAAGCCAAGCAGCTTTTTAATGAAATGATTCATCAAGGCTTAACTCCGAACAAAGTTACTTACAACACTCTTATTCATGGCTTGTGCCAATTAGGCAGACTTAGAGAAGCACAAGATCTTTTTAGGAATATGCGCACTAATGGAAACCTCCCAAATTTACGTACTTACTCAATATTGATTGATGGCTTTTGCAAGCAAGGGTATCTAGGTAAGGCATTCAGGCTGTTTCGAGCAATGCAAAGTACTCACTTGAAGCCTAATCTGGTGATGTATACCATCCTGGTTCATGCCATGTGCAAATCTGGTAATCTTAAAGATGCAAGGAAACTGTTTTCAGAACTCTTTGTCCAAGGGTTGCAGCCTAATGTTCAGATATACACTACTATAATATTTGGACTTTGTAAAGAAGGATTGTTAGATGAAGCATTGGAAGCTTTCCGAAATATGGAAGAAGATGGCTGCCCTCCTGATGAAATTTGTTATCATGTTATTATTCGAGGATTTCTCCAGCACAAGGATGAATCAAGGGCAGTGCAACTTATTGGAGAAATGAGAGACAGAGGTTTTGTTGCAGATGCAAAGACCAGGTTAAGTGAAGTTGGTTAAGGTGAAAAGGTGATGTAAATTTCTCAATGCTGCAAATTCATGGGGCAAATATTATGTAATTTTTCCTCAACTTGTAAGTTAATTTTGAGTTCAATCTTGTCAACATCTGAACAATGACACTAGTACAAAAACTATACATAAAAAAGGAACACAAAACATAATATATTTTGCCCGAGATATCTGCTAATAAAACTTCGTGGTCTCTGATATACACACACTGGGTGTTCTTTTTTTTTTTTTTTTCTGGTCATGCTATTCATGTCCCCTATCTCTGTAAAATTCAGGTCCATTTTCTTACAAGTTATTGCAATAAAACATATATAAAAGTACCTGAATTTTTGGATGTTCAGCCTGCAGGTTTACTCTCTATGTTATTCTTCACAGTTCCAATCCAAAAACATATGAAAACGAAATTTCTCATGAATACAATAATTCAAATGTGAATGATAATGTTTAAGATCTTATCAGAGAAAGATTAACTTCAATAGAAAAGATTAACTTCAATAGAAAAGTTGGTACGAGAATATTAGAGAATAATCAATATAAAGTATAAATAAAATAAGAAAGCAAATGAATATCTGAGCTGTGTTTATAAATGAATATCTGAGCTGTGTTTATTTTTTTCATTCACTGTTAGTTTTCTGTTGGGCTTTTAATGGTAGTCAACCACACTGAACACCACACTTTGCCTTTTCACCACCGAAAGCCTCTCGTTTCCTCTTTCTGCAAAATCTCCTTTTATTTTATTCAGCTTGGAACCCAAGGTCCATTTCTTGAAAGAAAGATTTACTTTCAAATCAGAAATGAAAAATTCAGTGAAACTTTTTGAAGACAAAATCCTCTTTTGTGTCCTTTTCTTGGATGCATAGTATGTTATAGGATTACCTAATGCCATGGATTTCAAGAAAGAGAAGCTGGTAAGGTGAGTCTGTTTGCCTGTATTTCCTCTCTTTTATGATTCCCGTTTACTTTTTTTGATGATTTGGTTAGATGGTGTTCTCGAAATTTACAGGTTTAATGGTAGACAAAACCTGGACAAGACATTGCCTGTACGTAAAACATCAGCTCCATTGTTTAAAACTGAAGGAGGTGGTATGAATAGTGACAGAAGCACAAGTAACAAGGATCCTAAATTATGAAGGTTTAAGGTGTTTACAGCAAATAATCATTTGGAGAGAGAAAATTCTTGATCCAGGAAGTGATGTTATATTGAATTGGAACAGGATTTTCCTCTTCTAATGATTGACAGCACTCTTTTTTGATTGATTTTTTTTTTGTACCTTCCATCAGCAAGCAACAAGGAAAAGTCATCTTGTATGGATACTGATTAGAATTTAGGAATTACTGTGACATGTTTTAGAACATTTGCTGATGTATTTTACATAGTTCATATTGTAATAAAGTTTAGGACAGCTTATGTCTCACCTAGTTCAAGAGTTTTTGGGAGAGGTGAACTTGTTATGGATCCTAAGTTGATCGCAATGAGATATTTGAGATCAGATTTCTTCATAGATCTTGTTGCAGCATTACCTCTTCCTCAGGTACATAAATTCCTATCTTTGTTTCTGCTTTTGTTTATTTGATTTGAATGTAGAATTTTAGCCTGTGATTTCATTTTTTTTTCTTTTTTGCATAGAAATCATAGCTACTTGTAAAAAATGAGAATGAACTTGAAATTTTGATTTAGTTGATGAGGTTGAAGTTGCTACTGCAATTTTCATCTTCCCTTTTGCCTCGAAATTCCAGGAATTTCTTTCACTTCTTGAGGTTGAGCTGAAGTTACAAATCCACGTTTCACCCAGTGGCGTTCATCTCTACAAAGAGGGGGAAAGGTCTCCAGTTTGAGTCTTAACTTTGTGACTAAGAATATGCGATTGTGCCTGCTCTTTTGGATTGAAATATGACACATATGGCACTGTATTTGATATTTTAAGCACCCATTACTTGCAAATGAAAATTTTCTTATTTCTTTGATTTTTAGTGCCTTTTCTCTATTGCAATCTGTCCTTTGAAGCTAAAGAAGAAATGACATCAAATTGTTCCCTTTGGCAGATTGTGATATGGTTTATTATACCAACAATTAGAAGCTCGCGTGCTGATCACCATAAATATTCATTCAAGATAAAATCTCATGCAGCTTTAGCTAATGTTTTTCCTATTTGGAGGTTCCTTTTTTCTCGCAGATGGATGATCAGCTACTTGATGCAATATGTAAGCGCTTAATGCCCTGTTTGAGTACTCGAGGAAACTATATAATTCGAGGGGGTGATCCAGTTATGGAGATGCTTTTATTATCAGGGTAAAGCTGGAGAGCTCAACTCCAAATGGAGGGCGAACAGGTTTCTTCATGTCAATTACTTTGAGACCTGGTGACTTATGCAGTGAAGAGCTGCTTGCCTGAGCATTGCTTCCAAACTCTACTCTCAACTTACCTTCTTCCACAAGGACAGTGAGAGCACTAGAAGTGGAAGCACTTGCATTGCGAGCAGAAGACCTCAAGTTCGTTGCCAATCAGTTTAGACCTCAAGATTTGCTGCAAACACAAGGAGAGGGACGCCAAGGATGTTGAAATGCTCAAGTTGCGAAACCTGAAGAGCCAGGCTTCTGTACAGAACTAGATTATGACTGGTTCAACCCGGTTCTCATCCAACAGCCAACTACCAATGTGGAAAAGCTTTAATGGAAGCCAAATGATCCAATCCTGAAAGGATATTAATTAAAATCCCCCACGCCATTGCCGGTGCTTCAAGCACCCAGGGATGACTCCATTAATTTTTAGGTAGCTGGAAGCAAGTGGATGTAAAAGGTGCAAGCTGCTTGTGATTTCTGTAATATCCATTAGTTTATAGGTATACATGTAGCAAGTCTTGATTAAAGTTGAGTTTTGTTACAGTCAATCGGGTGAGATAAACACATTATTGCCTTGGATTTTCTTGTTGAAAGGGCACTGAGCTCCATGATAATTAACTGAAGCTCTAAACCACGTAGCATCTGTGGACACACATGGAATTTACTATTCAGTGCTATACTTCAATGACTATTATGCCTTTCCAATGAAAAATTAGAGGCCTATAAGTCGGGTGTTAGTTTGGTCTTTTTGCATGATTCCTTTTACATTAATTATTTGACTAGGGTCGCACGCAATTTTTTCAAATTTCATGAACACTCAAATGATTTTATTATCCTTCACATTAAAATCTTTAAAACTATCATTTAGGGGGTTATTTATATATTTTTAATGTTTAATATACTGTTAAAAAATAAATTTTCCCTTTTAATAAAAATAAAATAAAACATGCATATAAGTTTTGATCATTACACCCATTTTTTTTCTATGTAAATCTCATTTTTTTCAAGTTATTTAATTGATATTAAAATCTCAAAAGTTGTTGTCACGTGTTATATGCATGCTAGCACTAGCATATAAAAAGTATTTATGTTTTTTAGGCAATGCGTGTTGAGCCTTTCAATGTTCAAATTTTTTTTTTTGCTATATTGTTAGAAGCATTATTGAGTTTTTATCCTTATACGATGGCACCCGTCTCTATTGATAGCATAATTTGCTGCTCGTGAACCTTTTTTTTCCTCCTTTTATTTCTCCTCCAGTAAATTAAAGCAACTTAATCATCTTTGTTTTTGGTATTTTAATTTTACTGCTTATTATTTTTTTTATTCTTGATCATTTTATAAAAGTTTTATTTGTTTTGGATTTAGTTATTCAATTCTAATTTATCATATATTGTTTTTCTTAATTTTATTCTTATTTTTTTTCTTGGCTCTTTGGTGAAAGTTTTATTGGTTTTCAATCATTAAATCATTATGTTGTTTTTTCTTTCTTTCTCATTTTTTCCTCATTCTTTTGATATTTTTTCTTTTATTAAAATTATTTTTATTTTTAATTTAACCTTCCAATAAATAAAACTTGGTTTGACCTTTAATTTATTTTTTATTTTGATTTTCACCCTCATTCTTTTAATTATCAATTTTATTATTTTTTCTGTCTTAGATACTTTTGTGTAATTAATTTCCTCCTGATTTTATCTTTTAGTGTTTGATTTGTTAGGAATTAGATTTCATGGTTTCTACATATTTAGTGCTTCTAGTTTAATAACTTGGGTTATTGGTTTGAAAAATTAATGTCAATTGACATCTTCTTTTTTTTTTTTTTTCATATTTCATTATTCAACATTTTTTTAAAAAAAAAATAGTTTTGTGGTTTTCTTTATTTTTTTTTATCGAGTTATCCTGATATTATAATTTAAGCCCTGAGTTTGCAAGTTTAGTTAAACTGGCTCGCCCTTTATTATTGAGATTACTTGTTTATCAAGTTATCTTGAGTTGATTAGAGTTGATTTTTTTATATGTTTTTTAATTAAATTTTTTACTTCAAAAGGTTTTTATTTTCAAGTTATCATAATCTTTAAAAAAAAATATTTTTGTTTACTATCGTTGTCTATTTTTTTTTATCATCTAATAAAAATAAAATTAACTTATTAAACCTAATTGAGGCTAAGACCCGATTATTTTGTCTTTCTTATTTATTTTAAAGTGTTTGTGACACTTAGATTATCGTATCCTTTTTTTTTTAATTCTAATTTGTGTTTTTTTTTAATTGATTCCTTTTGTTCTTTTTCTTTTTAAAATAGTTTTTTTAATTTGTGTTTCAATTGTTACCCCTCCTCTATGATTTTTTTATTTTTTTATTTAGCCTTTTGTTAATAGAGGTTTTTATTAAAATATTGTATATATTTAATTTTTGAAAATATTATTCTGATTCATCTATGATTTTTTTTTTATGTTTTATATAGATGAACTTTGTTTTTAGAAATAAAATAAATATTTATTTTTAGATAATATTTTAATATGCGAGAGTATCTTTTTATTTTTATTTTATTCAATCAATTTCATGTATATATTTATTTATATTATTATTTGATTGAATAAAAAATTAATTTTAATAAACAAATTTATTTTTTAATTATCGTCAATGATTTCCTTTTTTCTCATTTATTTACACAAATTGTTCTCAATCTTTTTATTTAAATAAGTGCATATAAATATTTTTATTAAAAAAAACACTAAAAGAACCTGCATATTTAATTTTTTATTAAAAAAATTATTTGACCAAAATAGCTAGTCTTGTTCAAGAGGATGAATGACCCTTTGTATGGTTGAGACTAGTTAGGATATGTTTGACAATGTGTTTTAAATTATTTTTTAAAATACATTTTGACCAGAAAAAAACATGCAATATTTTTTTTTATATTTTTGAACAGTTTTGATACAATAATATAAAAAATCTTAAAAAAAACATTAAACTAGTCCAAATACACTTTTACAAAACACCTGCAACTTATGAACAATCACGTTTAATAATCTTATGCTAAAGACTAAAGATTGCTACAGGACTAAATTTTATCATGATGTTCAACACAAAATCTCCAACAATTGGGCATAAGCAGAAGCATTTTCAAACTAAAAAACAAAAACCATTAACCAGTTGAAGTCCTGGGATCCTTCACCTGCTGGCAGACATGACCTAGTAGATTGGACTTGTTCATATCGAAAACATGCTGGGTCAAGCAGAAAACTTGACCTACCCTAAAACCAAGCCCATTTGTAACCCAGCATTGCCAGCTACAGATAAGATATCAAAAAAAGAAAGCTAAATGGCATGAAACAAGTAGGTGGTCAAATCAAGATTTTTTCTTGATTGGTTTCCCATGACAAAAATCTAAACGGGGTGGACCAGAGAAACTAGTGAGTTTGTCCTCACTAGGCTTCTCACCAAGAGCATCATATACAAAATCCAGAATCAGTATTTGCCCAGGAAAGATCACTTGGCCCCCCGACATTTTGGACACTCCATGATGTGTAATGAGTGATGTGTATGTGAACCAAAACCTCAGTACCTTGGCCATCTTAAACCTGCTACAAAACTCAACTTGTTTAGTCATTTTTGCCTGCCGACACTTTCTTTTGACCTTCTCTTGTTAAAATATGAGATCAAGCCATACATGTGCACATGCAAGCACATTCAGAGGAACAAATAGCAGAAGAACAAAAAGAATGTGGAGAGAGGGATTACTTGTCACCTTGGATAAAACAGAACATGTGAAAATGTACATATAGTAGTTCTTTTACAAGTTAAACATTATAAGGATAAAATCTGGAAACCAGACAGCATTAAGCAAGCTTATGCTTTGACTTCACTCAAACTTGTTGAACTTTACAAGAGGAAATATGGCTTGAACCTTGAATGCTGCTAAATCACGCGCCCAAACATGAATACAAGTCAACTGTAAAAAAATTGAAACCTATTATCCTACCCATGACAACCAGCAACAATTCAATGCCCGAGGAAAACTAACGATGATCTGATATTCTATGTGAAAAAAATAACAATAATAAGAGGCAGCATGACCACAGTATGGAGAGGGATTTCTGAATAGAGAAAATTCTATAGAGCTTTCAAATCACAGGTTGAAAATGACTTCATTTTATTGAATTGAAGAATATTCTTCACCATCATTTGCTAAGGAAAGAAAGGACCGACTTCCTTTAAGTGCACAGTCGATCCAGATAGGGTGGATATTTGCAGGTACCTGAACTTGATTGGAAGTGTATTGTACTCTATCTTGCTTTAGTTTACGCTTAGCTTATTTGCTCTCCAATCAGATCAAGACCAACAAGAAGGAAGGTCACACCTTGGAAGAGAAGGAAGTAAAAGTGGACTCCCTGGGCTGATAACAAGCTCCTGACGGAAGCTGTGAGTAGGAGGAATGCAAGAGCGAGCTCCTTCCTGTATATCTTGTTCACTTTCTTAACAGGTGTAGGATTTGCTTCTTTTTGTTCCTTTAATTGGTTTAACAGTTCAAGCTCGGTCTCAGAAGCTCCTCTGCATATCTGGGCTTGGTTCATTGTCTTTGAGTCCCTCTCAGCAGCAGCCAGTAAGTCAGATTCTGATGACCTACCGGCCTTCTTGGTGACAACCCACTCGTATGAGCTACCCAACTGGAATAAACCAGATACCATGGCGTTGAATTTGGTAACTGACATGGTGTTTTCAAAGAGAAGGTAAGGAACTATAAAAGGGAAGGATTTGGGGGTAGGAAGAATGTTGAGGAATGACATCAAG